CATGTGTTTTAAATTCAGACTCATATTTAAAAGGCTTCTCTCAAAGTTTAAAAGAATTAAGATTCATTAAGAAGGTGATACATTCATACTTAATTCTCCAGCCTGACTGCTCAATGAAATTGCCTGAGAGCTTTAGAAAGGACTCATCAGCCCCAGAGGTTCTGATGTACAGCCAGTGTATCCAAATATTCGAAGCTCCCCAGGACAGTCTCATGTGCAACCCCTGGTGAGAAGTCCTGCTCTCGAGAACTGGACACTGCAAAGTTTATATGTTTATCAGCCTCACTGGCTAGTACTCTCATGGTGCCGAATGGATAGATTTGGTTTTTCTGTCTACTACTTTGATTTGTTTTGTTCTATTCTTTGCAAAGGTGAATCCAACAGAAGGATGTTGCATAAATCATTTAAGAAGGGCCTACAAATAACACATCTGCTTCTGATCCAGGCTCACTGGTTTTTCTGAACTACAAACAAAAAAAAACCCTACATTGTATCCATAACAGAATACCTGTTAGGGTAATAATATTTTTTAAAAAAACCTTCAATGATGAAAATCATAATATATACTTTGCACTTTTCATTCCAGAAATTCATTTCTATTTTCAAAGATCATCCTATTATTATTACCCATAAGAAGACTCTTTGGCAAGAAAGTCAGAAATTACCAGTCGAGCTAAAGGAATGTGAGGGTCAGATAGCTGGTATATTTCTGGTTGCTTTAGAAAGTCCAGACCTTCACTGTAATGTTCAACAACCTAAAACTGGAAGGGAAAAAGGGAGTTTAATGGCTTGGTCATATTAATTTTTGGAATTTTATTTCCACCCTTATAATTACATGGCATAGCCCTATTTTAAGAGCAATGAAAAGTCACTGAAGTCTCTTTAGTACAGGAATAACATGATTTCCCCATAGGAAAACTAGAAGACGATGAGGGAGAAAAACATGAGTTCCATTTGGGGCTCCTGAATTTGAAATGTCTTCATGACATCCAAGTAGATGTGTCAATTGGTCAGTTGGTTGCTCTGTGAGAGGAGAAGGAAATTTGTAGGTTTCTATAAAGAGAAGGTAACTGAAATTATGGGCAAGATGAAGGGGACTAGGGAAAGAGAAGAATGGCAAGAGTGAGGAACTTCAACATTGTGGTCAGCTATGACAGAAGAGCAACAAAATGTGGGGGAACATGTAATAAATACACTTCTAACCCGATCTCTAGGCATACCTCTATTTATTTCCTGTATAAAACCAGAAGTGGAATTTTTTTACCTTTTTGTTTTTTAGCTTTTATTTATTTATTTGAGAGAGAAAGAGACACAGAGAGTAAGAGAGAGAGAGCATGAGCGGGGTGAGGGGCAGAGGGAGAAGCAGACTCCCCGCCAAGCAGGGAGCCCGATGAGGGGCTGGATCTGGGACTCTGGATCATGACCTGAGCAGAAGGCAGATGCTTAACCGACTGAGCCACCCAGGCGCCCCCAGAAGTGGAATTTTTTAAAGAGCATTTAAAGCCTCTGGATGCAGACTGACAGCTTTCCAGCAAGATCATACCAACTTTCTACCCCCTCACCAACGCTATGATCTTTGTCAACTTGGTTGATAAAAACATCATCCCATTATCTCAGGCAACTGTTTGAAATCATTTACATTATGAAGCATGCATGGTGTTCCTACACAAATGAGCCCGAGAGACTCTCAAATGCAGAATTGTATTTAAACTGGGACTATGTAGCAAACATCATAAATACCCAATCAACTTGCTGAATTAAATGGAAATCAAAATATGATCATCTGTTTTCACAGTCTGTTTCTAATAAGCACAAGTTCTGATGTCTGCTTCCTCGGCTGTGTGAAGGTCCCAAGACTGCTCAGCTGCTTAGTTTAGGCTGAGCCCCCTGCAGACATCTTTCCTCCAGCAGGCACAACTAGGATGCTGCTCAGGGAGACAGAAACTCAGTAGTGCTGTTTCCAAATTTAGCTTGGAACTTCACAATCATCTCGTTAAATGTTTTTAATACTGCTTGGGAAATGTGCAAGCAAAGCCTAACATATTTTTGTCAATCAATCAGTATAAATTCAGATGTAAATTTACTGATACATACTCTATTTTCTGGTTACCCCAAGAGTAATGCATCACACTCCTGAATATATTGTGATTGAGTTAAAGCCTGCTGGCTTCACTGTCTAATATTAACGCGACTAGATCAGGGTTTATTCCAACTGACATCTTTCTGGTATTAGTACCTATAATTATTTTTCTTAAAGGAGATTGCAGTCTCTTGTATTTATATTTTTAACTGACTCCTTTTGGGATATTATAGGCTAAAAGGACTTTTTTTACATGGACCATGTTTTAAAATTGGTTCTTGCTCTGTATATTACCTGTGGATCCCATCACTCTCTCCAGCTCCCGAATACTCCACTTAACAAGTTAACATGACTCTGTGTAGAAATTAAAGGATCTCCAGCCTTTACTCAATCAAGGTGGTTGCCTTGGCCTATTTTGAACTTGGTCCAGTCACTCTATGTTGCTTCAAGTTTATACCTTCTGGTTGCTTTCTTCAGAGAGTCGGTAAAGATTTCTGCTTGGATTTGAATCCTGACACCACCTCTTACAACCCCCATGATCCCAGGAAGGTTCTTTAGCCCTCGGGTGCCTCAATTTCTTCATGCACACAAGTGATAAATACTACCTATGTCACACTGAATAAGCACTGCAAGTGTTAATTATTGTCTTTTTCCTGGCTGGTTTTGCTATTGCTTGTTGCTACTGTTTGGTTTTTTGGGTGGGGGAGGATGGGGTTGAGCACTGTACCACCTGCAACTCCATCCAGTTTACAACATGGCCAGAGAAATAGTGACTCATTCTTTCTAACTTATCAGCCCTGCTGACTCAGAGGATAGGACCTTGGTGCACCCTGGCTCGCCAAAGTAAAAGCAAGGCTCAAGCAACTCTCTGGCACTCATTTCCCAGAGACTATAAATACACCATATATACTCAAAAGTCCTCTCTGAGTATATATACCAGTCAACACATGAATCTTGGCATATAAAATTCGGATCCTGCCCCCAAAGAAATAGATGAGCCATAGAATCCCCTCCCCCATCCCTCTTTTCTCTTCTCTTTCTCAAACCCGCGCGCGCGCGCGCACACACACGCACACACACACACACACACACAGACACCCTTTCTGGTGGGACAATGAAGAATGAATTTGAGAACAAACCTGAGGCTGGGAGGCCATTTGGAAAACTAGTGCAACCATCCCTGGACATTTGAGGGGTGGGGTGGGGGTGGGAGACGAGTAGGGAAACAGAAAATGATACATTTACAGCAGTGAGAGGAATGAACAGTACATTTTACATGTTTTTAATGTACCTTCTCTAAAGCACACAAGACATTGGGAACAGTGTCTAGGGCTATAATCTCCATGATCCAGAGCAGGGAGGGCTCTGTGGGAACAGGAACCACCTAGCTGGCCCAGCCTGCTTTCCTTACATCAACAGGAGGGAGGGGAGGTCTGAGTGGATGACTTCAGCCAGGAGCACCAAGGAGACCATGTCTGGCTGCTGGTGGCATGTGGACTGCCTCACCCACTGCTCCAAGCCCAGTGACCTGCTGGACAGGGACATCTCACCCACATCTGCCAGGGACATCTGCCCAGGGCAGGTGGCAGGTGGAGACTGAGAGTAGGGGATGAGATGGAGTGGTTGTCACAGCTCCTCCTGGGCACTTACATCAGCATCACAAAGGGACCAGCTCACCTGGGGAGGGGCAGGACCCAGGGTGGAGGATAGCACCCCTCTGGGAGGCCACCTAGACCCAAAGGTGTGACCTGAATTCTAAAACAAGCAGGCGAACAAAAATTCTTTCCTTGAAGCACATCCATACCAATATTTTCCATTACAAGCCTTACTGCTGCCCCCATTCTATTAATACTAAAAGACAAAGCTGTGTTGTTCACATGCTAATTTTTTTCCTTGCTAACATCCTCCACCCCTTCAGGCGAGGCTTGCGAGACTTGTCAATGAAAGGCTTCTTCCCTACATTGCTTTCCCTGGTGGCTGTCCCACTGTCTGATGACCTTGCCCCTGCTCAGACCTTTGGGAACCTCTTGGAATGTCTCATTTGTTTCTGGCCAGAGCCCTGACCGGTAGACCCATATTTACCTAAAATTCTTCACATTAGTTGCACAGTCTGAAGTTCACCTACTAGTACTAAGCTTTCTATTTAAAATGCAAATACTTCTGCATGGGTAGGCAGTCTATTCCACCCAAATTAGAATCGTTCGATCATGTGGGTTTTTCCTAAAAAGCCAAGAGAGCAGTTTCCGGGGGAAGCTGTAGAGTAGAATCAGTGAATCCTGGTGGCTAAGGTACTTGCGGAGGACAGCCCCACCCTCCTGCAGCCCTGCTGAGCAGGGAATTAGGGGTGCTGCCTAGAGTATGGGCATCCGAAGTTCCCAGGGCAATGGGAAAGAGTTCCAGGCTCAAAGACTCACTTCCCTTTTGTACCAGGCCCAGATACTGTATGTGTATTTGGCTTCAATAGTCAGGATTCAATAATCACAGTTTATGATACAAACACTAACCTGTTAAAATCAAACATTTTGAGCCAAAAATAATCATTGAAAAGCAAATTAAGACTTCACCAAAATCTGCAAAACAAAAGGGAAGACTCCATTCACAATATGCAGTAAAACACAGTAACTTCTACTCCTTCCGCGTTTCCACACCTCACACACACACACACACACACACACACACACACACACACACACACTATGGATACCCCTTCAGATCTTTTCCTCTCACACTTCATACCATACTCCTCCAAATTTCCACCCAAACCCTGAAAGAATAGGTCTTCTTTTGTTTTCTTCATCTGTATTGTCCTATCTGTCGGATGAAAAGAAATATTGGCTCTCACTGTCATTCCTTGGTAAACTTTTGTCCAAACTGTCTCAAGAAATAAATGTGTCACTATAAAAGAAAAGAGGAGAGAGAATAGAATTTATTTTTTAATAAGACGAGGGTGTTGATTGTTCCGTCTTCCTAATTTTCTATTTCTTTATAGTTGGTTGCTGGGCACTTTTTCTAAAACGCAAGACACATACTCCAACCTCCTTGTTAACATGAGAACAGCTTCCATTTTCACTTGGAGAACTACACGATGTTTGATTTTTACAGTCCAGGAAGCTAGTGACCACATAATCATCTTCAGTTCCTAAAATTAAGCAGATAGATAAATAAATAAGCAAAGACAGGGGACTACATTTGTGGATATATTCACAAAGTTCTAGTAGAGATTGCAAGTACGAAAACTTGTGGAGTCAGTGGCAATGGTCCATGGGAATAAAATAGTTTTTTTTTTAAAAGATTTATTTATTTATTTTTAGAGAGAGAGAGAGTGTGTGGGTGAGCAAAGGGGGGAGGGGCATAGGGAAAGGGAGGGAGAAGAATCTCAAGCAGACTCCATGCTGAGCACGGAGCCCACAGAGCCCATCATGGAGCTTGATCTCACGACCCTGACATCATGACTTGAACTGAAATCAAGGGTTGGGTGCTTTAACCAACTGTGTCACCCAGGCATCCCAGAACAAAACAGTTTTTAATCAGGTTAAAAAAATACATTTTAGAAGGAACTGACAGGGACTGCAGGTGCTCCTGACTCAGTGTAAAAAACTGATTGACTTCCTCTGGATTGAACAAGCCCAGCATTATTGGATGATCCTAGGAGAAAGGCCAGAACTGAACTTTCTAGAAGATGATGCCATGCTGGATGTCCTGCCATTCCAGGCATGTGAGGACAAGCAGGTACATAAAGGTATAGTTTCTCAGGATGTTCCAAACTGGAATCCACATCAATGACTTCCTCTATTCTCCATTGTCAGGTACCTCACCCAGGGATCATTTTGGAACACAATATCTTCACTATTTCAAATTACTTTTCTCTAAGCTGATTTTCCTCTGTCTGAATCTTCTTACTAATTATCTAGCTTAAAAAATGCATTGCATTCAACTCGTGAACTTCCTTATATGTTCAGGAACAGGAAAAATATATGTGGAGTGAGAGCAAGGTGGGGAGAAGAGTGGAAAGGAGGAGAGAGAAGGATTAGCAAAGAAAAGAGAATGACAGTTTTCTGCATTGTCTTTGTCCTCCACTAACACACAGTGCTTATTGTCACCATGTCTATGACACAGAGGAAGGAAAGAGAAAGAGATCCTCGGAGTAGTGATCTATCCACAGAACTGCAGCTGCCATACTTTTGTGGAAGATCCCACAATGTTTATCTTCAGTCACAAGCTTTCTCCTGGTTTCCTATCCCTGCTTGTCTGTCTACTAGATTATTTCCACTTGGATGTCTTACTGTCACTTCAAAGTAACCATTTCTCAAATCATTTTAACAGGCTTCATTCCCAAACCAGCTTCCTTTTCCTGCATTCACATTTCTATTAATGGTACCAAAACTTTCTAAATGACTCACCCTAAACCCCCGCCACCATCAATGACTCTTCCTCCCTCTTCTCACCTTCATACCATCAATGTTTTCATCTTCCTGGTGTTCTCTCTCTCCTCCATCCCTTTCTTCCCATTTCTTTTTAAAAAAATTTTTTAGAGAGAGAGCATAGGCGTGGGGGTGGGGTGCTGGAGGGGAGGGACAGAGGCAGAGGGAGACAGAGAAAACCTCAAGCAGACTCCCCACCAAGCGCAGAGCCCAACTCACAGGGGCTTGATTTCACAACCCTGAGATCATGACCTGAGCTGAAATCAAGAGTCAAAGCTTAACCAACTAAGCTACCCAGGCACCCCTCTTCCTTTCCATTCTTAATCCTATCAGGCTGCCATCACTGCATGAGTACCTGGAGTTCTAAAGATAAAAACTTTACAGGTTTTTTTTTTTTCTGGGCTCATCCTGTTCAGGATATTCTGAACTGAAAGGAAAAATTACTGAACGGAATAAACTAAAGAAGAGGTAAAAATTGTAATGGTGACAATTATAGTTAACGCTTCTTGAACACTTTCTATTTGTCAAGTGCTCCTTAAAAGCTCTTTACATGGATTAACACATTTAAGGCTCACAATAAAACTCTATGAAATAGGCACTATTTGTACCTTCCTTATAATAGGTAGGGAAACACGACAGTGGAAATAAAATTTTCATCGTGTACTGGGAGTCAGGATACCTGGGTTCAAGGACTCAAAATCCTTTTGTAAAATGAGGGGACAAAGCAGATAATCTCTAAATTCCTTTTCTTGGAAATAATCTGAGATTCTTAATTCATAACTGAAAGGAGAAATTTAGTATGAAATAGAAAGAGAATCCTGGAATTCTCCAAATTCTATTCTATTCGCCAGGGATCATCATAAAGAAACAATGATTCATTCATTCTAAACATTCTTGAGCACCTACAACACACCATTACCAATGGACAATTGTTGTGTCATTTCATATGGCCTTCTTATTTGTATCACTCTTCCTTTATTATGCTAAAGTCTTACCTGAGGCAGGTAACAGGCCAAAGATAAGAAGAGCTAAGAAAAGGTAATGAATCTTCATAGCAAGGCCACTCAGGAGTAACTAAGTGTCTCAAAAAGATAAACCAATATAAATGAAGGTGATTTTAGAATTTCCTGTACTTAGAGACTTCCCGGGGTGAGCTGGGCCTAATGTGTCTTGGTCTCTCTCAGATTTGTGGGGATCCAACTCCCCACAACTCCTGTATCCTTCCTATTTGTTTAATCATATTATGACATGTATAAGCCCTTATTACATCTTTACAACACTTTTGCTCATCCATGTCCCTCTACACTATCTCTGTGACCCACCATCAGGGCTTAACTGTGAGGCCTCTTACCACATGAATCATCTCTAACTTGATGGCTCCTTTAACTCCTTTCCTGGTGCTTATGCCACCTCTCCCCACAGGAGCTGTGCTTCCCCTTACTCTACGCATCTCCTTTCCTCATCCGGACATCATGCTGGCCAAGACCAGTGTTGCCTGGAATACTTTTATGAGGTTGTTAGTAAACATGAATCTTCACAGCCCCCAACTCCACTTCCTCTCCTGCTACATCCAGCTAACATCCCTGAAGATCATCATGTGATTATGCTAATGTTTCACTTTCATCTCCTTTCAACTGGGCCCTGGTGGTGGCTTTCCCATTTAGTGTGACAACCACAAGGAAAGGGATTATATGTTCTCTGACCCTGTACCTACACAGTATCATAGAATAGAGTAATGCTCATAGAAGTTTGTTGAACTGGTGAAGTGACATTCTTTCCCTACTTTTTTTGTTACTCTTTTATTGATTCCTCTTACCCCAGTGGGGCTGTTCATATCAGAACTAACCCAGTCCCCCATCCCTCCCTTTTCCATGCAGATAACTTAAACTCTCCCCCTAACTTCTTTCTTTACCGAACATACTGAGCCATCACTTGTATATTCCTTCTCACCTCCTATCCATATTAAAATGTGCGTATCTTCACTTCTATCCTTTTCTACCTTTTGTTGCAGAAGAAAAAATCACTTTCTCCTTCAAAATCTATGTCATCTTCCCAGGTTTTCTCTCCAATTCTTTTCTGCCATTTCCCTCAGTCCTGAACTTTACAATTCTGCACCCTTTAGGTAGACCACAGATACAAAGAGATTGATATTATCCTGGGTCACAACTGCTTGAAGCATTTCTGAAGATGGATGGGGAAATTATGTTTAATGTTGGGCATAGTGCCATGCTATGTTGGCTAGTGCCACCCTTAGCACAATATAAGAGTCTGTCATAAGAAACTAATGATAATTCTTCAAATAAGTTATAATTGTGTATTTTTATCATACATTTTTCAAAAAAAAGAATTTAAGGCAGGTTACTTAATATACACACAAGAGATTAAAAGTGAGCAGATCATAAAACTGGGTTGTGAAAAATAAGATAGAATTATAGGTAAACTAGAGATGGGACACAAATTGTGGTTGAGTTTTGGGCAGTAAAAATAAGAGAAATAATAGTTACAGAAGTCATCAGGTCAAAGCGATCTCAAGACAGAAGAACAAAGCTGGAGGCATTACATTTTCTGATTTCAAACTATATTACAAAGCTATAGTAATCAATACAGTATAATATTGGTATTAAAAACAGACACATAGATCAATGAAACAGAATAGAAAACCCAGAAATATACCCATGCATATTTGGTCAATTTATGATAAAGGAGCCAAGAATATACCATGGGGAAAGGATAGTCTCTTCTATAAACAGTGCTGGGAAAACTGGACAGATGCATACAAAAGAATGAAACTGGACCACTTTCTTTCACCATACACAAAAATTAATTCAAAACGGATTAAAGATTTGCATGTAAGACCTGAAACCACAGAACTCCTAGAAGAAAACATAGGTGGAAGTCTCCTTGACATTGGTCTTGGTGCTAATTTTCTGGATTTTGAACCAAAAGAAAGGCAACAAAAGTGAAAATAAACAAGCGGTACTACATCAAACTAAAAAGTTTCTGCACAGCAAAGAATACCATCAACAAAGTGAAAAGACAACCCATCAAATGGGAGAGAAAATTTGCAAACCATATGTCTGATGAGAGATTAATATTCAAAATATAGAGAACTCATATAACTCAATAGAAAAAAAAATCCAATTTAAAAATGGGCAGAGGATCTAAAAAGACATTTTTCCAAAGAAGACATACAGATGGCCAATGGGTCCAAGAAAAAGTGCTCAGCAACACAAACGATCAGGGAAATGCCAATCAAAATGATAAGAGAGATGACCTCACACCTCTTAGAAGGGTTCTTATGAAAAAGACAAGAGATAACAAGTGTTGGCAAGGTTGTGGAGAAAAGGAAATCTTCATGTACTATTTGTGGGAATGTAAATTGGCACAGCCACTATAAAAAACAGCTTGGAGGTTCCTCAAAAAATTAAAAATTGAACTACCACATGATCCATCAATTCCATTCTGGAATTCCAAAAGAAATAAAAACACTTACTTGAAAGTTTATGTAATTCCATGTTTGTTGTAGCATTATTTATAATAGCCAAGTGTCCGAGTATTTCTATTTACAATAGAAATCCCACAGTGGATGAATGGATAAAGAAGATGTGTTATATACAAAAAATGGAATATTATTCACACATTGAAAAAAGAAAATCTTGCCATTTGTGAAAAAAAGAATGGAATGTGAGGGCATTGCACTAATGAGCAAAACAAATATCATATGATCTCACTTATATGTGGAATCTAAGACAATACAAAACAAAACAAAACCAAAAAATTGAACTCATGTAGATAAAGAAACCAGAGGCAGGAGGAGGGGCTCGTGAAGATGGTCAAACTGTACAAACTTCCATTTATACAATAAATAAGTCCTGAAGATGTAATGTAAAACATGGAGACTACAATTAATGATACTGTATTACATATTTGAAAGTTTCTAAGAGAGTAGATCTTAAAAGTTCTCATCACAAGAAAAATAATTAAAACTATGTATGGTAATAGATATTAAGTAGACTTATTACAGTGATCATTTTGCAGTATATACAAATATCAAATCATTATGTTGTACACCTGTTATATGTTATATGTTATATGTCAATTATATTTATGTCAATTATATGTTATATGTCAATCATATTTCAATATTTTTTAATTTTAAAAAGCAATTTAGTAAAAAAAAAAAGCCTTTATGATGCCAAATAATAAGTCCCATGTTTTCACCTAAGATTTGACTCAATCAAGCTTTAACAAATGGAAAATCTTTAGCCTTTCATAGTTAGAAATCCCTTTGAGAATTTGATGAAATGCAGGTTGTCCACTTAGAAAAAAAAAAGAAATGCATCCATGTATATATCCATAAAAGTCCATATATATATATATATATGCAAGCGGTTTTATAGCCTCCCCTCACCTCCAGTCAATGCCTTAAGGATATATGAATCCCAGATTGAGGACCTATGCTGTAAAAGAAACCAGATAAAGGAAGAAATAAGAAATCTAGGATGAGGGCTGCCTGGGTGGTTCAGTCAGTTAAGCGGCTGCCTTCAGCTCAGGTCATGATCCCAGGATCCTGTGATCAAGCCCCATGTTGGGCTCCCTGCTTGGTGGGGAGTCTGTTTTTCCTTCTGCCCCTGCAACTCTGCTCATGCTCTCTTTCTCTCTGTCTCTCTCTCTCAAATATATAAATAAAATCTCTTTTTAAAAAAATCTAGGATCAAAAAGCTAGACAATACTGGGGAGTCAGAACCCAGGCCACCCAGCTAGGGAGCAAGGGATCATGAACCAGAATGCTCAATGTGACTAAAGGATAAAGCATGGCCATCATTTTACTCTCAAGATACCAGTTCACATAACCTATTGTCGCAAAGGAAATGTAACCCAAAAGGCAAAGAAGTCACAAAGTCCCCCCACCTCTTTACCCCTACTGTCTCTAAATAGACTACCCAACAGTCACAGGACAGTAACAAATTCTTAATAATTAGAAAACCTTACTATCCTATTCAAAATCCCCTTGTACTTTCTAAGACATCAGCCAATTCCAAGGCCTGACCATTCTGAGCCCCTGGAGGTAGGATAAAGGCCTGGGGTGAGAGGTCTACTGGAAGTTCCATAAGAAGATATAATGGCGGTTGGTGGGAAAGGGGAATGAGAGCAGATATAGGGGCAGGTACTGCCCCCAGGATAAGGGGAGAGACTACATTTACTTATATCTGTATTAGTATGGATTAGGTTTAGCTATGACAAATATAAATTTAAAATAATAATGACTTAAACTTGTTAGAATTTTATTTTATTCTTCCATAAAGCCCAGAGGTAGGTAAGTAGGTAGGTAGATAATAGATAGATGATAGAAAAATAATAGATAATAGATAGATAATAGATAGAAGAAAGATAGATGATCGATAGATAGATGATAGATAGATAGATGATAGATGATAGATAGATGATAGATGATAGATGAGAGATGATAGATGAGAGATGATAGATGAGAGATAGGTAGATATTCAGGGCTGAATGGTGGTTTCATGATCACCAGTACCCTCCTGTCCTATTGACTTATCATACACAAGACACAGATCCAAGATGGCTACTCAAGCTTCAACTATCTTTCTGCATTCTAGTCAATGGGAAGGAAGAAGCCGAATATAGCTAAATGTATTGACAGAAATATACAGAGTGTGGTCTGACAGAAGGGCCATCAAGAATGTCAGCCCTGCCTGATTGCCATCCCTGCACAGATGCTCTCTCTGCAGCTGGCACTGTAATTAGGCCCTCCTTTAACCCATGTCAGACTGTCTTGGATCTGGACACTTTCTAGTAAAAATGTTCAGATCTACATTAGTATTTGAAGTTTTATTATGATATATGTATTTGGAGAAGGAGAGAAGGAGAGGCTGTACAGTGCAGTGGTTAAAAGCACAGATTCTAGAGCCAGACTGTGTGAATTTGAATGATGAGTTCTCCAACCATGTGACCTTGAGCAAATCATTAACCTCAGCATGCTTCAGTGTTTCCTTCTCTCTAAAATGGGGTTAATAAGAGACATCCCATGTTATTTGAATCTGTTTGTTTCCTGAATTAAGATAGGAAGGCAGACTCCAGTATCTACCTCACAGGGGTATGGAGTGGAGTAAACAAGCTAATACAAGAATGATGCTATACAACATGGAACATTTTGAATGCTA